TCCACACTGACAGTCGAGATCTTGCACAAAAGTACCCTTGCCATCACTACCGCAAACCATTATTTACCAAGAGCAAAAAGACCTTTTCAAACTGACTACGCGAAGAACATCTGCTACCTGACTCGTAGATCCAGTAGACTCAACTGACGCAACCTCGGGAACGTCTCGTGTATCAGCGGCCTCACATCCACATCACTCCTCGCCTCATACTCGACGATGACGCCGCGCAGACCGCAACGCTCGACAGTGTCGACTAGCCTCTGGTCAATCTCGTCGAGACTTTTCTGTTGCTCTGACACCAAAGATAAGTTTTCCCTGGGGGCGAGCTGCCTTCGTCGCTCGCTCGCCTCGGGCAGTCCGGCGAAGACAAATCCAGACAAGTCGAAGTTGATGCAGAGACGAAGCTCCTCTAGGTGAGGGTGTTGCTCGCGCGAGAGCTGCGGCAACGGGAAAGAGCGCAGGACGTGGCGGAGGACATGCTGGTAACGGATGGGGTGTTTCGGAACTGTAAAGCCCAGCGATACTGTGCGCAGGCTCGTGAATGAGGTGATATCGAGGACGTTTCTCCCGCCTGCAATAGCTCAGTCTTTTTTGGGGACAATCACGAAGGTCTGCTTAACTCACAGGCTGTCTCATGGCGATGCAGGGTTACGGTTAGGTGCTCGAGCGACGGAGCGACGAGCGCGGCAAACGCTACTTTCTTCAGCATGTCTTGTTCCTCGTCGAGCTCGGCCACCATGCGTACTTCCAACGATCGCAGACGATCGAGGCTGCCTGCACTACGCAGGGCGGAAAAGAGCTCAGGCCCGCTATACGCGTGCTGTACCACGAGTCGCTCTACTACAAGCTTTTCGGGGCCAGGGTCTCCCAGGAACAAAGGAGGGTCGTCTCTTCGGACGCTGAGGCCCGTTAGATGTAGCGTCTCTGCCTTGGCAAAAATCCCGGAGAGCATGACCGCCTCTGTGTCGTCCATAACGGCCGTGTTGGGACTAGGCATGTCATCTTCATTGTATTCGATCTGCAGCTCTTTCAGCGAGAATCGCATGAATGGCCCGGCAGTCGTCCCGGTAAGAGGGGTTGAAAGGCGAGCAAACTGCACATTCCGTAGGTGCAGCGTCTCGAGGGCAGGCATATGGGAGAGAAAGAGAGAAAGTGCATGAAGATGCAGCTGCTGGCCGCTTGTCGCACCAAACTTGTAGCGGTTCGGAAATCCTAGTCTCAGCTTGTGTACAGCGGCGGCGGCGGCGGCGGGAGAGGACCGCAAGAAGTGATCATAGTCGGCAAACGTCTTGTACGCCTCCTGGCCTTTCTTCCTGTGCGGAGCACGGACGACAAATGTTACGTCGCGAAAGAGATGGGGACGAACCACCGAGTTCCATGCACGACAGACAGCACTGCATGCAAGTAGGGCGTGCTTACGTTGCACGGGTTTTAGTTGATCCTGGCCTTGCGATGCGTCTGCGCACAGGGTGCGCCAGCCAGCGCCCGTGGATTGGACGGCGCTCTGGTTGTCGGGATGCAAATAGTTGACAATGTCGTCAATGATCTCGAGGGGAATGGGTGGGATTTTTTCCCCACCTCTTTCCTCGCTATCGAATGCGATTTCAGGGCGCTGATCGTCGGGTACAACCGTCGCAAGCCGGCGGCTCAGAGTTTCGCATGGCATAGTAGTACTAGTGAGGTCAAGCCCTGCAATTAGCTGAATATCGTGAGCGTGGCTACACAGTACTAGAGCTCATCGACAATCGTTGGTTTATGTAAAGGCAAGAAGAAGAGGACCGTCTTTGGGACCGGCTATAGCTATGGGAATTACAGGACTGCGGTCAAGGCATCAGAATCAGATAATGCGGCGCCGACCGTGGTTCGCCTGAATGACTCTCAGATATCCGGCGTCGACAAGGTGAACGCACTTCCGAGGGAGAAAAATACGAAGTTGCTACCTATGCAGGTCGCAACCCATCTCGTGACATTTGAGGCCTTCGGGCGTGTATTCTAGTCTACAGGAAACTTTCGGCTCTCATATACATATCTCAATTACAACGTGGGCCAAAGTTCGCTGGTATCGCAAGTTCGCGTATGCTAGTTCTTTTGGAGCACACATTGTCGAAGCACGAGCTTCGTGGTCTCTAGCATGCGCACCTGTCATTGAGCAATACACCCGCTGCTGAAGAGTCAATACGCTCGATATTTACGGTGTGTGGGGTACCGCCATAGCTTCGCGTCGTTCGATACCACTATGCAAGTCGAACAGTAGACATTTATGCTGTATCTAGCTTGGTACAGGATGTCGAGGATGTCCGTCTCATCTTCCAACGAGTCAGCATGTCCAGAGCTGAGAGAAAATTGAAGTTATTCATGGAGTGGGAAAGGTCGTTGCAGGCGCAGGGTCAGGTATTCGAGAGACGATGCGACGAGTACTGCGAACGTCAGCTTCTTCGACATGCTCATGTCCCCGCCGAATGTACCCAGTACCTATGGCATTAGATTCCGCGAGTGATTGAAGCTCACTGTTTTCTGAGGGTCAGAAAGAGACCAGACCCGCTGTGCACGTTTCTAGGGCGAGCCGCTCTACCTCAAGCTGCTTGAGATCACGACCGTTCAGGATGAAGGAGAGCCACCCCTTCTCGCACCGAGTACTACAAAGTGCAGAGTCTCCGCCTTGGAAAAAGCTCCGAGAGGACTGCGGCATCGGTGCCACCTAGTATAATCCTAGCGGTTGGGCTGTTAGCGCCGCTGTACTCGATTTGCAGCTGATTTAGCGAGAGTCGTGTGATTGGCTCGGTGAAGTTCGGCACATGGCTCCGCTCCCGATGGCGAAGAAATGCGACGCCCCTCAGGCGTAATGTCCGCAGCGCAGGCACTCGAGAAAGTTAAGGGAACGGAGGCGAGGCTGCAGAGTTTGGCCACCAGAACCGTTCGTGTATTGTTCGAGAAAGTCGAGTCGCAGGTGGCGAATGGCGGTGGCGCGGGGGGGGGGGGGGGGGGAACTCCAAGAAGTGGTCGTAGGAGGGGAACTCTTGTACGCCTGTTAACCTTGCTTCCAGGACAGGATGCGGATTAACAAATCATGCACGACAAACAGCGCTACGGGCAAGTGAATTTCGCTTGCGTTGCATGGGCTCTGGCATCGCGTTATGTGCTCAACTTGCACACCCCTTCCGGCATCCGTAGGTCGGACGGCTTTGCACTCACCAGGCTGTACGTAGCTGAAGATGTCGTAGACGAGCTCAAGAAGAATGGGCGAGACCGTTCCCCGACCTCTTTCCTCAGCGTCGGACAAAGGTTAAGGCGTTCAGGGCGTTGATCGTCGAGCACGACCATCACAAGCTGGCGGCTTAAACTTTCGCATAAAATGATAGATGTATCTCGAAGCTCTACGAACTAAGTGTTATGAGCGCGGCCGCACAGCGAAAAACATAGAGCTTACCAGGGTCTCTTGGTATACGCCGAGGCGAGAGAACAAGAACGCCTGGTGTCAACAAGAGAACAGCGGTCAGGAAGTAAGGTGGCCGGCTTCATATCGTGCTGACGGTGTACCTGACTCGTACAACTCTGCGAAATTAAGATGCCTCCAAGAGCAGTGACAAGCGGCAGCTCTAGCGAACTCCGCAGATTCAACTCGTCCAGCAGTCCAATGAGAAAAGACTGGTATCTTACAAAGGTACTTACATGCAAGACAGCTGATTATATTCCACATCGTACAGCCTAGACAAGATGGAACGGACCGGGGTATGCGATATGTGCAGTGAAAACAGGGCGAGAAGTGATAGTCGGTGACACTTATTGTACACTGCAGCCGTCGGGTAGCTTGGGCAAGCCGTCAGGGCCCAACTCAAGCCCTGGTGGCAGTGGACCCATGATTTCTGGTGGCGGTGAACCGTGAGATTGCATCTAAAGAAGATGTTATTGTTGGTACCAATGAACCAAATGGAACAAAGTAAAACAAGAACGTCGATGACACGCACCGTGTTCATTAGGGTGACGATCTGGATACCCTTGTCCTGATCTTCAGGCGTATATTTCGGGTCTTCGAAGATAGAGACGATCTTCGCGACGATCGTCTGCTGGGTTTCATAACGTTGTTTGTCTTCTGCCTTAATCGTGGCGGCGTTGTCCTTGAGATACGCAGGGAATTTCTCATGGAGCTCCTTCAAAGGCTCGTAGAGGATGTCCTTGCTCATGAGCTGAGACATCATGGTTTCGAGCATACGTTGCAGCTCTTCCTCTGACTCGCCACCGTTCTCGCCGAGGGTAGCAAGGAGCTTCTCGAACGCGTCTGTCTCTTCGTTTGTCGGCTTCGGCTCGCTTTCCTGGTCTAGTATAAGTACACAGAAAGCCTGAGACACGGCTTGTACTCGCCTTGGCAGTGTCTTCACTGACTTTTAGATTGTCCATGGCAGATCTGAGACTCGACTGGAAAGCATCATCCTCGACCTGGGTCTTGTTTGCCTCCCCAGGCTTCGCAGGAGCCTTTCCTTTCGCGTTCTTGTCGAAGTCCTCCACGTCCAGTGCGCCGTTCATACCCTCGACGATCATGTCCTCCCATGCCTTCCTGAACGTCGCCTCTCGCCGTTTGTCCTCGTCCGACGCGTCTGCGCTCACGCCACCCTCACCGCTCTGTTGCGCCGACTCTGCTGCAATCTCACGCATGAGGACGGCCATACCCTCCGCTAGTTCACGTGCGAAGTCATCGCCTACGGAGAGCTCGTCCATGATAGACTTCTTGGTGGCAGTATTTGGCGGCACTTCTGGTCGGGACGCCGATGGCCCTGGCGTGCTAGGTGCAGGCGGAGTTCTCGCCTTCGGCTCGCCGCGTTTCTCTCCCGCGAATCGGCCGAGTACGTCTGTGACACTGGGTGAGCGCATGCAAACATGGGCCACCCAAATTCACGCTCACCGTCGAGATCGTCCGCATCGTCTTCCAGTCTTGGTCGTGCACTCTTGGGATTGGCTTTGGACATGGGTGCGGCAAAAACTGGGGAATGAGAGAAAGTGGGGTGATGCAAGCAAGCGGCGCTGTATTTGTAGTCGACGTCGATGACGGGGAAGACTTATGGTGGAACATGTCCGGACCCTTTGGACGCGACTTTTATGGCGAGCTGCTTTACCGCGTCTAAATCACATGTCCAGAGTGGCTCAGGGCGTCTAATATTCGCGGAAAGCGCTCGCTCGGATTATCCTGCTCTCTGCTTGGACCGCAACTATTGGTAATTCTCTCAATGTTTGCCAGGCAAGACGAAATACTAGTACGGCGTGATAAAATACAATGTCTAGTGTGGCGAAAGCACAGCAAGGAATAAACGGAAGGAAGCTAGCACACGACGGTAGTGCGGCTCCTGCTCGGACGAACGTAACGTACTAGTCTAGCAGAGTCAAGCTGGAGAGCCGGGAGCCCGCTGAAACCTGGAGAACGACTGGAGTTGAGACTCAGGCCGAGGATGTACAACGAGTCTAGAGCGCACAAAGAGGCGGCACCGACAAGGAAGAGTACGTGAACTCAGTGCGCCCTCTCATGATACAAACCGCAGGCTCTGTGGCGCCGGCGAGATGCAAATCTGTTCGCAAAAGAGTTCGCTGGATACGGATCTGCTGTCGTTGCTGTGCTTGTAACTCTTTGCTGTAGGTCACGGCTATCGACGACCAGCTCTTCATGTTGCTTTTCGTTCATAGGATCTAGTGCATGCTCATGCGGAATTGGAAAATCATACGTCCTCTGCAGGTAGCGTCGGACATGTGTGGCTCGATGACCGGCATCATCGCGGATGATTCCAAATCGTCCTTAATGCTCTTGAGGCCATCTCGCGGAGTATCTTGTCGCGGCGTTAGACGACTGACCGGGTGGCTCAGCGACAAACCTGGGAGGCTTTCTACAAGGCTACTTGAATCCATAGGTGTAGCACACGCAGCCGTCCCACTGCTCACGCCAAGACGATGCTTTATGTGCTCGTGCAGCTGGTTCCAGCTCGGGTCCTTGACATAGCATGGCTTGAAAGGACATTTGTAGTATCTAATGGGAGAAACTCAGAGCTCAGTGTAAGTGGACAGAGCTTACTGGTGGTCAGCACTTCGCACCCCGACCTTCTGCTCGTTCTGCAAATTTTGCAGATAGTCGAGCACTGTCTTCAAGATTCAAGACGGAGTATGTTATCTGTAGTGTGCCTCTGTCCAGTCAGTTTGCGCATCATAACGGCATCAGGCGGGGGTACCACTCGCATCGTATCAAGGGCTGACAGAAACCACTGGAACGTCTGCGTAGTTGAGTACCACATTTTCGCGGGATTCCGCGTGTATAATACTTCGGGTCTCAGGCCGCCGTTGTACAAAGCGACGCAACGACATCGTGGTAGAGCCTTTTCTTGCACCACAACGACATCGTGGTAGAGCCTTTTCTTGCACCACAACGAGACAGTTGAGGCGCGGCATCTCTGCGAAAAAACAGAGGTGCTATCGGCCTTTGACCTCTTTCAGCTAAGGCAGCTAACGTGCTGCCAGGGGCTCCGGGGATGGTAGAGGTTGGGGGTCCCCGTGCACCCCGGACCGCTAGCGCCGTTCTACGAACAGACGAAACGGGCCCCACTGAACTCCACCCTCGCTACCAACCTAGGTCAAACATAAGGTTCTCTGTCGTCTGCACTCGCCGCTGCAGAAGGTCAGGGTTTCTCTGCAGCTCCTTTTTGACGCGGTCTGGTCCTGTATGGCGTCTAAGTACAGTGCGTTCAGGCGCGCGATAAAAACGCCTACGAGCCATTCATCTGTTGTGCAGCCAACACAGAGCTGGTTCCAGAGCAGGACCATGCAGCCGTTTCCATGGCCGTTTGCCTGCAGACAAGCTTTCAGTCAAGGGATCGAGGCTCACATCGAGCGACTGGGGAGAACTCATGGGGAAGGGACCGTCGAGGTTCTGATAAAAAAACATACATTAACCTACATCGCGTGTCATCAGAGTAAAATAGCCGCCCAGTGTACAAGGTGTGTGCTGATGTGTAAGGAATTGTGATGAGGAGAAACAATAGGTGTGCGAAACGACCGCCACAGCCCAAGGTGTCGCCTCGGTGGATATAGGCTCCTAGTCTTCGATGACGATGACCTCCGAATCTGGCGGAGCAGGTGCAGCCGATCCTCGTCCAGTTCGTCTCCGGGTAGTTCGCGAACTCGCCTCAGGTGTAATTTCGAATTCATCCGGACCTCGTTTGCGCTTCGTCGTCGTCCGCAACGGGGTCCCGCTCTCGCTGTCAGAATCTTCAATCACGATCGGCTCGTCTCGCCTTGAAGAGCTCGGTATCGCCCGCGCGGTTGCACGTGCGCTGTTGAGAGCAGGGGAGGCGATGGGGGTGGCAGAAGCTCGCGTTTTCCCCTTAGCATGGGAGTTCGGGATCGTTGTCACTGGCGGCGCCGGAGGGGGCGGGGGAAGTGCATAGAGTTGAGTCCATTGCCGGGCTGTACGATCATGTTGTTCGCGATGTTTTACAAACTCCGTGGCAATGGACGGGACTACACAGTGTAAGCATTGTTCTCTCAGGATGACAAGCGTCTGACGCTTACCTAGAGGATCTCCTATGCACGAATCTTGGGGATTAACAAAGCTCGAAAAAAACAGGATGTATACTTACTTGGATTGGGATCTGTAAGAAGCGAGGATAGTGATAGTACCACTTTGAACAGTGATAGAGCGGGTGACCAATTGTGCTTGAGGATGTCAATACATATGCCTCCGCGTTCGTTGATGTTCATGTGATAGATACTATGAAGTCCATGTAAGTAAAATTTGACAAGAGCAGTATCACTTCGGGCGTACCGCGTGCGAAAGGTCATATGTGGCGCAGAGAATCTACGAAGGGGGTCAGCGAGCGATAAGCAGCCAGAAAGCTCACAACATACGGATAATCATGACCCAGAGTGATATCTACATTGAATAATCCGCCCTCGTAGACACTACCTTCGGGCCCTGGGATTGTAGCTTTCCACTGAAACAAGTTGTCGCTGGTCGGGCCAAGTGTTATGTTGCCCAGGTCTTCCTTCTTGAGGTCGACGACTTCGCGGTGAATGCGCTTCAGGGTTGTCTAAAAAGAAACGTTAAACCAAAGGAAATAAAGCTGAGCACTTAAATTTCACCGTTGAGGCAAGAGGCGATGGCATCGTTGGGATGGTGAGCACAAGACGAAAGGTCGTGGTGAGAGGTATATGCAAGCGCTCCGACGATGCCGTCCGCTGACCGTGGATATGACCTTCCATTCTCGCTCAATGAGTCACATGATTCGCTAATTGAGGCTGGGGCTGCCTGACTCGAAGGACCTACGCCTTATTCCCTTCCACTACTACAAATACTTCCCAGACCGACGATGATCCCTCGAATAGCCGTTTGAACCGTCCAGAGAACATATTTGTATTCTCTGACATCGGTCCACACACCGGCAACACCGGAAATATAATGTTTGGAGACGACGAAGAGTGCCTTCCTGTCCCTAGCCCGTGGGATGGTCTCATGTCTACGACGCCATCCGATGCTGGCTCATTGGAAGCACAGAAGTCACTCAAGAGCGGAATTCCTAAAACTTTGCGGCCTGAGGTGGAAGAGGTACGGTTTATAGCGCC